TGACGAATAAGCGTCTTTTCAGAAAAGATTGATTCAAATTCGACAATACCAATCAGAATCTAGAATGTAAACAAATCATAAAAAATCGTTATTTTCATAGTTTTTCAGCGCTATTTTCATTTATTTTTGTTATTTGACGCTATTTAGACGAATAAGCAAGTTTTCCGAAGCATAAAATTGAAGATTTCCCGCCAAAATAGAAACTTCCTGATAACATCGGAAATGTCGTTCTAACATCATTTTATTTTATTTGATTCTTCAAAAAATCGTTATAATACTATGTATTAGACTTAGAATATTCGATATCTAAACCAGAAAGTGTTAGCTAGAAATAGACTTATTTATAGAACAACCCCCCATTTCTCACTTCAGGGAAAGTTATAAAACAGTTGGGTGCTAATGACTTTGTGAAAGGGAAAAGTTCTACACTTAGAAACTTCGAAAGAAGGGATTTGGCCTGTACCGTCCGCGGGCCGCATAAACATTGATAAGGGGCCGTATGTGGCCCGTGGGCCGCAGGTTGTGCACCCCTGATTCAATCAACAGTGATAGATATATATCCATAATGACATGCCTGTGAAAGGAATCTGAAAAAATGTTGACAAATAAATTAGAAAAAATGGGGTTAAGTGGTTTGCCTTGAGGAAGAGCTTTATTTATATAGCTGAAGTACCTGTACAATGATTAACATTGAATTGATAAGCAATATTAGAAAACAATTGTCTTAGAAAATTAATAAAAGAAGAGATGCCTATCTGAGAAAACTTCGACCATAAAATATCATGGTCAATTGAGTCAAATGCTCTTGACAGATCAATAAATCTAATGTTTTTTCAACCAAAACTAGTTGCAAAATTCCAAGAAAAGAAAATAGATTATATGTCATGCCTCTATTTGCTAGAAAAGCACCCTGATTAAAAGATATAATATGAAAACAATCAAAGCAAAGCTTCAAACAATTAACCAACAAAGAGGAAAAAACTTTCCTGATTACACTAATTAACAATATTGAATGATAATTCAAAGGATCTGAATGAATGCCTCTCTTATAAATCATTTTTAAGAGAGCCAGCTTGCTTGGAAAGAAAAATTAATTTTAAAACTATTAAACAAAAACAACAAATCATTTAAGATGTTATTTGGAAGAAATTTTATCATCTCAGCTTTAATAATATCTAAGCCAGAAGTTTTATTATTTTTCAGAGAAGGCACAGCAGATGTTGCGGTCTTCTGTGCCTTCTCTGAACATTAATAAAGCAAAGAAAAAAGGTTCATCCAATAGTAGATCCAGATTGTCATCAATGCCATCAGAAAATACAGCAAGAGGAAGTCCATAAAAAAGCTTTCAAATAGTCCGACCATTCAGTGATAGGGATCATATTATATAGAGATTTTTGATTCTAAATTTATAAGCAAGCTTCCAATATTCACAGAATTTTTGATTTGCAACATCTGGAAATTAACTTTAGTCCAAAACAAATTCTTCTTAGCCTTACAGATTTAAATTTTTTGTTTAAATTAGAATAAATAATGAAATGTTGTCTACATCTTAATCTCCTAAAAGACTGTAAAGCCTGATTTTCACATTTCTTCAGTCGTAGACAGTCTGCATCAAACCAAAACTTCACAAAATTCCTTGAATAATCATATTCAATAAACATGCTGCTTTGAGCCATGGATTCAAGACTCATGTCAACAAAGAACAAATAGTAGGACAAAGAATTTAAAAAGAATCTGCACTTATAAACTAGTATTCAGAAACCAAAGATGAAAGAAGAGATGAAAGAAGAGTTTACATCAAAAATATCATCCACGTGTGCAAAATATAAAGTAATTTGGAATGATACAATAGCCACAATTATTATTTTTTCTAAAACGTGTGATCATGTTAGGCTTAACACTGAAAAAAATTCAACATGGAGCAACATGTGACAAAATATTCACCACACAATAAGTTAAACAATTGGCCTTCATGAACACAGATTTATTTTTTTCCTTAATCTGTTTCTGCTTTATACAAATTTCTAGCTTACAACAGTATTCTTAACCATTTGTTCTATTCTGAAATTTATTTTCCATTTAGACAAATTTTTATTTTGTAGAAAATCCATTTTAGACAGGTTTTACTTGGACAGACTTGTCTTTGATTTATTTAAGGTTTTACTTTATAAATGTTTTTGTTCTTTTAAATTAATTAATCCCCAGTAACAAACAATGCATTAAAAACTTACCGACACTACAGTCGACAATATCGATGCTGCCTTTTTGAAGACTGCCAAGAGGCATAGCTTCTCCAGACTGTAAAATTTTAAAAAATTGAAAAGTAAAAATAATTAATTTACAGTAAAATTTATAAATTTTTAGATGGTTATAATAATTTCATTAATGTATGTGTAACAATGAATTTGATTCTATAAATTTTAATGAAAACTAAATATAAATTCAGTAAGAACTTTGCTATTTAACAAAAACCAAAAACATTTACATTCTCTGTGGTAACAATAAAATAAATTTATTCTATATTCCTTCATGTTCCTTGACCCTTAAGGTCAAATTCCTTGCTGTAGCTCCTAAATACCAATTCACAGTCTATCCTACGCACATATCTCAAGTGAGCAGAAATTCCTAATATGTTTCTTTGTCATTCCTTACAAAGGAGATAATCATGGGGATTCTCTTTATGCCAATTTAATATTAGACCAACAGATGCAATTTCTCTATAGATGCCAGATAATGTATCATTGTAAGTAATAGCAACAAATTTCTTACAAATTTTTTCAATGTAATTCCTTTTCTGCATTAAGTTTACATGACCTGAAGATGTCTGTTCAAAATGTATGAAAAATTTATATTAAATATTTTAATTTTATTTAACTGGTTTGAAGTAAAGGTGTGTTCCTGTATATCATCTCCCAGTTGAAGTGTGTAAAAATTCCCTGTACAAAATTTTTTAAATTTTGCATTTGAGACTGATATCAGTAATATAGGTACACCACCAAATTTCCAGCAACTGATGGTCCAGCATCTCCTTTAATCTGGACAAAATTACAAGAGGAAACTTGAAATTCTCAGTCACCAGACAACACTCTGTGTTGTCTGGTGTCTGAGAATTCTTAGATTATTTTGCTCAGTCACCAGACAACACAGAGTGTTGTCTGGTAGTGTTGTCTGGTGACTGAGCAAAATAATCTAAGAATACTCAGTGACTAAGAATACTCTGGTGACTAAGCAAAATAATCTCATAATGTAGTATCATTGGGTGAATCATTATGGTGAAAATAATCGTCAGCATAATGTAGTATCATTGGGTGAATCAGGAGATCTTTCTGATAGAGTTCGGAAATTAGAAAAAGAAAACGACTCATTAACAGCATGGTGCCAAGATTTGCAGTCATTAATACAAAAGCTTGATTCTAGAATTGCTGTTTTAGAAGGAAAGAATAAAGTTGTTACTGAATCTGTCAAACCAATAAACAAGACAGTAAATAATATAAAACCTGAAGATGATGATGATGATGATGATATTGATTTATTTGGTTCAGATGAAGAAGATGAAAAATCATCTAAAGCTAGAGAACAGGTTTTGAAAGCGTATGCAGAAAAGAAATAAAAAAAAAAAGCAGTTATAGCAAAATCCAGCGTAGTTTTAGACGTCAAGCCTTGGGATGACGAAACGGATTTGGCAGAAATGGAGAAAAAGGTGCGAGAAATACAGTCGGACGGACTCCAGTGGGGAGCTTTCAAACGTGTACCATTGGCGTATGGTATTTATAAACTTCAAATCGTGAGCATAGTGGAAGACGAAAAAGTCAGTATCGACTGGTTAGTAGAAACAATTCAAGAAATCGAAGACTATGTACAAAGTGTAGACATCGCTGCATTTAACAAGTTATAATTCTGTTATTTGAAAATGTTTTTCTAAATTTGGAAAAATAAAATAAAATTTTATTTTTACAATACATTATGGTGAAAATAATCTCAGACACCAGACAACACTCTGTGTTGTCTGGTGTCTGAGATTATTTTGCTTAGTCACCAGAGTATTCTTAGTCACTGAGTATTCTTAGATTATTTTGCTCAGTCACCAGACAACACTACCAGACAACACTCTGTGTTGTCTGGTGTCTGAGATTATTTTGCTTAGTCACCAGAGTATTCTTAGTCACTGAGTATTCTTAGATTATTTTGCTCAGTCACCAGACAACACAGAGTGTTGTCTGGTAGTGTTGTCTGGTGACTGAGCAAAATAATCTAAGAATACTCAGTGACTAAGAATACTCTGGTGACTAAGCAAAATAATCTAAGAATACTCAGTCACCAGACAACACACTGTGTTGTCTGGTGACTGAGTATTCTTAGATTATTTTGCTTAAATTTACCCAGTATTCTTAGATTATTTTGCTTAAATTTAACCCTAGCAATGGCTTCTAAGAGAGATGAGAGTGTCAATGCTGGCATCAAATGTAAAAACCAGTCCATACTGATCCAAGATAAAGAAGAACTATTGAAAAAATCCAGAAATGAGTTGCTTAACTTTCCTGGCAACATTTTGTGGTGCCATCTGTTATTACATTTTATTAAAAAACAATTTTTATATTTTTAACTAAAATATAATGGCAAAAAAAATAATTTTGAAAGTAGAAGTGGGTTTTATAAAATATTGTAAATGCTAATAAAATAATCAGATAATGCTAATAAAAATTTTATTTTTAACATTATACATTGTAAAAAATTGCTCATTTTATGTATGACGTAAACTGTAAAGCAGGCATGGCCAACATATGGCCTGCGGGCCAGATCCGGCCCGTCTAATGAATTTATGTGGCCCGCAATCAATCTTTCAATATTAGCTACATAAGTCTGAATATCTCAATGAAAAATTCTGATGCCTAAAGAAAAAAAAAGGTCAACAACTCACTGTGCGTTTAGAGTTAACCCTCCATTACAAATCTTGTAAGTACAGCATAGTGTGTTGATAAAGCATGATACGTGAAATATGTATCTGTAATCCCTATCTACAATTCAGTCTCTGCAAGGTGACACCACAATGAGATCTCGCACCACCTCAAAATCTTCCTAAGGCAGCCTCTGGTTCGGCCAGTGGAAAAAGTTTTATTTCCAATTCGGCCCGGGGGCAAAAACTGTTGTCCACCCCTGCTGTAAAGCCTCATTCAAACATGTTTTTGAAAGCTTTAAAAAATTAGAATGCAGCAATATTCAATTGATAGAACTGTCTTTCTTATTCGTTCCTGATGAGGACTGATAAACTGTGATCGAAAACATTTGATCAGTAAAATATTTTACTTGTTTGCTGGAAATTGTATTTAGGTGTTATTCCTTTGGATTGCAATGTTGATAACTTGAACATAAAAGTTTCATTGTATTTGAATAACATGAAAATGTATTCTCAGTTTCAAGCATGTCATGTATTTATAGTCAAAAGTAACCACAGAACACAGGATGGGATTATTACAAACAATAAGCACAAAAAAAATCAGTAATCCTGTACAAAAGCAACAATTTATTACTAAAACAATATTTTCAATTGTTTCTTTAATAACCATCTTCAGGTTTCTAAAATTACAGATAGAACAGAATCCAAAATAGAAAATTAAAATATATTGGAACTTGTTAATTCCATGTAGAATATTTATTGCATATGCAAAAGAGTGGTAAATAAAAGCAAAAATTAAAATAATAACAAAAAACAAGGAGTGAGTAATATAGTTTTTTATTTACGTTTTTTACTTACTGTTTATTTTCACAATTTTAATTAAATAAAACTACAGTAGAACCCCTCTAGTCCACCCTCGGCTAGTCCGTCACTCCGGTTAATCCGACTGTGGTCAGAGTCGAGAAACTTGTCCTGACTCGTCAGTGACTCACCATCCGTGGCGTTCTTCTGTGTTCGTTACAGTATATGTTTTACATTGTGTGTGTTTTCAACATGCCAGGAGTGAAACATAAACATGCTACTCTTTCATTAAATGAAAAATTAGCAGTGCTACAAAGACTGGACAAAGGGAAGTTTGTTTATTTTACTTTTTTCTGATAATCCGACATTTTTTGCATTCCGACCATACCCCCAGTCCCAAAGGTGACGGATTAGAGGGGTTCTACTGTATATTCTTTTGTGTATAATTTTTAAAAATTTTGTGTTTAAAATTTGAATAGTTTACATTTAAATATTTTAAAAAACATAATTTAAGAAAAATTGAGAAAAAATACAGATTGTATCTGTGTATCTGTCTTATCTTTATAAATTCTAAGAGTTAGACATCTCAATAAAATTTTAATAATACACAATAAACAACACATACACTTTCGTCCGAATTTTCTTGAGTTTCTCGTTCCTCGACGTAGTTTGCGGGAAACCAGTAATGTTTCTTTCCACCGTAATCTCCTCTCCACCAACCGCCATCTTGTTTCACGACATTCGTGATTATAGCATGTTTACAAAATGATAATTCATCTTCTCGTTGAGCTCTGTAGTCATAGAGAGCTTTTACTGTAATCTGTGTAAAACATAAAAAAACAATCACTGAAAAATATATTACTATTATTAATAAAAATTATGATTATTTAATTTTATAAAATAAAACATTAATATCAATATTGTAAATCTTCACTTTTACAATCTTATTGACTCCAGTAAAACCATTATTAATTAAACAAGCTATTATATTTCTGAGATTTAGTATCATACATTTATGTTTTTGGAAACTGATTTGAAATATGAAAAAATATACTGAAACAGCCAACAAAAAAATATAAGACTTAAATATCATATTTTGTATAAAATAGAAAATTTAAACACTCATAAAAGTGGGAGACTGTAAAGTGAACAACCATAAAGAAGTTGTGAGAGCCAAACTTGATAAAGAAATTTTTGTTCAATTTAGTTTTTCGTTAAAGCTGTTTTGCTAAAATCGTCAAAAATAATTAAACTGCTTCCCACGGACTTATTTCCTTGTTGAAGATGATACATTGAATGTGTTACCTGGAATCAATGAGTGAAAATGTGACCACTGGCCCCAATGTACGTACTAAACCTCCTAATTAAGTCATGGAGTCCCCTCATAAAAGGGAGGGGTGACAACAAGCCGGGGCAGTTGTCATCAACTCAAATTCTGAACTGTGTGCATATGTTTTCGCCAATTTCAGCTTCACTTCACTTCGTATAAATCTTTATTTCCGAAGACAGCCTCGGCTCCGCAGAGCATCACCGAGGTTAAGAGCAGAATGTTTACAAGCATATTACATGTAAAACAGGTTACATAACAAGAATATGTTATATTACAACTATATGTTTTAGAGTTCAGTTAATGTACTTGGCAAATTATTGACTGCAGAGTAGCCAAATACTTACATAAAAAATTTGCATAGGAGTTGATTACATAAATACGTGGTAACATACATCGGGTATTATTAACAAATGAATATAGAATATTATAATACAAAATATTATATCAATGATAAACACATTCGAGAAAACATCAGTCCATTGAGACAAATTGACCTAATTAACGGTAGTTCTGTTGAAATAAGTATATACTAGTTCTTTAAATGCCACAAAACAGTTTTTGTCTTTGATAAGTATGTCAAGGCTGCAAGGCCAATTTTCTTCCCGCGAAAGTAGAGTGGTGATGGTAAAACGCTTATCGTCCAACATAGGGCATTTAAATAGATAGTGTTTTACTCCATCTGTTTCGTTACAAATTTCGCACAGTGAGTTTTCCGATTTGCCAAACCTGTGAAGATATTGGTTGAACTTCCCATGTCCAGTATAGAATTGGACCAATTTTTGGTCAATGATTGGAAGAGTAGAATCTGAAACCTTGGGAAAAAACTCCTTTGTAAGACATTCGCTATGCTCCTCCCATTGTCTTTGCCAGATAGCAAATGCATTTTCTTTTGTTTGTCTTAAGATGTGACATTGGGGAGTGGCATTATAGCTTGGTTCACTTTCTAGTTCAGAAGCCATGCGGGCAAGTTGGTCAGCCTGCTCGTTTCCAGAAACACCAGCATGACCCCTGACCCAAACGATGGCATACCTGTTGATATCTTTGGCCAATTCCAGCAAGATATCGTGGACTATAGGTGAACGCCACTGGAGGTTGTGAATGGCTTGCGTAGACGAGTAGGAGTCTGTAAAGATAGTTATTTCTGTTCTATTATATATGGAGTTGCACCATCTAATGGCCGAAAGAATGGCCCAGAGTTCTGCTTGAAAAACGGAACAGGTTCCCCCAAGTCTTGTTGTGTATGTGAATGTTTCTTCATTATTAGCATACACTACAAAGGCACATCCAACAGCTGTATTATTCTTTGAGCCATCTATAAATATGGTGAGATGTTGTATGGACCAGGGTTGATCAGAGATGTCGGGCCAGTAAGCTGGGTTAATGCTGGGGACACCCTTTTTAGTGCGTTCAATGTTATCATAAGGTAATCCATTGATCGAGTTGATTTGATCGTCTCGGATGAGCCACATTTGTGTGATTAAACTGATGGTAAGCTGGATGGGCAGTTTTCCAGCCAAAAGTTGTAACGCCAATTTCAGCTGTCGCCACTTGCTGCCCTTGCAAGAGAAAAAGGACTTTCTTTCTTCCAGTCACTGAGTCTTCATCAAACCAAGCATCGATTCGCCGAATCCGGGATTACCACTTCCTAGGACCAACAAGTGATTAATATACTTATCATCTCGTGAACGATTGTGAACTCTCTCTCTCAATCAGGGTCACATTAGGTTTATCTCTCTATACACCTCTTCTTTTAGCAATTATACAAAGTGTCTAACTTACTTTTTAGCCATTATGCTAAGCTTCTGAATGATCAAAACTTGTAAATAATGTCTATCAATAAACGGGTATTTTTGTTAAATGTTAATTTGTACAGTATACTTCTTCCAATCGTTTCCATTCACCTCCATTCTGAGTCCAGAAGCCCACAAACACGACCACTCACACGAAAATTAACGTAATGGCCATTGAAATTTCCGTGTCCAGAAGACACAGTGGTGTCAGTCCTGACAAGGTATCGAATACGTGCTAACCCGCATATGTATGTATATATGTATGTGCTAACCCAAATACACATATGTAGACTTGGCAAACATCTATATATTTATTGTACTGTTAATGTTTTGAAAGCTCAAACTAATTAAAGAAATTAATTAGTTATTAAACTATAGACAGTAACAAAAGTGGATGATAAACTCATTCAGATTACTACTGTTTTTAACAGCATAGTGAAATGTCTTAAAAAGATCCAATTATAGATTCATTTGAAAATATTATTATTTTAATGTTAAAAACACCAAACCACACCTTAATTGAAAAAAAAGAAAAATTTAATGTATAATAACTACACTTAAGTGTTGTGGCATTACCAATATTAACTTTTAGTGTATGAAAATGTTTGCTAGTATTTTCAGTAGCATAAAGCTACCGTCATCAGGCAAATATTGAATACAACAGCTATCGAATTTTACATTTTCAAACAATATTTGAAATTAAATACAGCATGGATGGAATATAAAATGAATTTGAATAAAAATGATGTTCTAAAAATATACAGTAATAACGAGTGGTGTAATTTTCCAAGATTACATAGCGCAGCGGCAATAACAAAAACAAACCTGTTTATGCAAAAAAGGAATTAAAACTGTTGACTGAACTATTTGAATAATGTAACACATAATTGTGGGATTTTGAGGGTTGGGGTGTTGCAGGGTGTTATAGCTGTTATGTAGAGGCTCTCCCAAATAAATAATTATTTCCGATTATCGCACCATTTGAGTAATTTTGTTTGGGCCCAGAGTGGCTGATAATTTTGTTCAAGCACTTTTTTTGCTAATTCTGTTGATGGTCTACTGTTTCTGATGTCTAAGACACGAGAATATAACATTCTGGCCCCTATGTAGCTAGTTTCTTCTTCTGACAGAGCATGTTTCAGTAGAATTTGATAGACCCCAGATTTTTCATTCAATTGAAATATATCTCTGTCATTGCATAATAGTCTTCTTAGGGTCGGTTGTGCGGTTATCAGTAAAACAAAATCAACTTTTCTAAAAAGATGTATTATTTTTAGAGAGATAGGGCCTAAATATGTTCTTGGAGGATGTGCTATTTTTAGATTCTCTTTGTTACTAAGAAATGACTGCAGAAATAGCTTATTTTTGACTCAATTCTGAAGATAATGAAATTTAGAGAGAGAATATCCAACTTTTTTGCATTGCTCCTTTAATGATTAGTAATTCTTCATCTACTAGTGCTTGGGTGAAAGGAAGAGAGAAGGAATGCCCTCCGTATAAGGAAAGATATAGCAGAATTCACAAATTTTAATGGTTGAAAGGCTGTAGCGGGGATAATTTGTGGAGCTTTGTTGTTTCTATTATGGACAGAAAATAAAGGAGATGTATGAATTTCTAGATCTAGGAATGAGATTCTGGAATTTTGTTCTTCCTCTATAGTGAACTTGATCGAAGGATAAACAGAGGCCAGCAATTGAATAAATTGTTCTAATTCGTCAATAAAACCTTCCCACACGAGTAGCACATCATCATAACGTAGCTACATAATTGGATATTGGATGGTCAAAGGGGCATTGAAAATACAATGTTCTATGTTCCTCATAATAAGTTCTGCCAAAATAGGTGATAATGGGGAACCCATAGGTACTCCCTGTATCTGTTTATATATTTTTCCATTGGATTGAAAGTAATTATTTTCAGTAATGAAAAAGAGAGCTTCATGCAAATGTAAAACATATGAACAAATGATCCCATCCCACATACTGTTTAAAAGCTGCACTAGCAATTTAAATTACTGCTTTAATTCCACCTTCTGAATTTGTGACCACATCTTTATGGATGCAAAAGCAATCCATAAAGATCCTACACAAATTAGAAAACCTCCCCACCAACTCCTACCGATTGTACAAAGTTGTTGTGATCTCTTTATATCCATCTGTACCACATTTTGAGGCTGTCCTGCTTGCAAATACCCTGCTGCTTAACTCTGGTTACACAACATCACATGTTTTACATTTGTACGAAGCTCTCTTTCTCATTACTGAAAATAATTACTTTCAATTCAATGGAAAAATAATAAGATGATGACATACAATTCAGTCAACATTCACTGACTGAACGTGCCACCAACCAATGCTTTCAATATGTCATTTAGAAAAGTTGTTATGAAAAGTTTTAATTCACATAAATTTGAGCTTTTGTAATTCTGAGTAACATCTTGAATAAAATTTGTTTATTTCCATGCAATTTTACCTTAATTTTATGCTTATAAAGCTGTAAAACAGAATTAGTTCTATGGGGAAAACCCTCCTCATTTTGGCATTGCAGATGTTCTACAAGCAACTGCAGTGCCAAATTGAGAAAAAGAATATACAGTTTTTCTGGCAATTTTTGCACTTTTCAATTGCATATATTTCAGCAACTGCATTACAGAAAATCTTGAAATTTTGCACACTACCTAAGAAAGCAATCTTCTTTCAAATGAGATATTCGGAATTACTTCAGGTGTTTAAGGCAGAGAAATTGACCCCACAAAACCGGCAACTCTGATTCCCATATATATAGTCAGTGACTTTTTTACTTGGCAAAGACTCACTGCCATGCCTCCTGATAAATGCAGTTTGAATTTTTAAAAGTTTGTTGTAAGAAGAAAAATTTTTTAATTTAAATTTATATTCATAATTGAAATCATCAGCAATCATTTCTAAGAAATACATTTCTTAGAAATGATTGCTGATGTCAAGTAGCCAAAATTTTTTCACAAGAACAATTGTTCAGTATTGCCTCCAGGGTTATTGAAAGGAGGGGAATCGCATATGCATAATTTGTCACGAACACCAAGAAGAGTGTGATCACAGTACAAACTTATTTATTTACAATTTAGTTATTACCTTAAAAGTAATATCTAGAACAGTGTTTCTCAACCTCTAACGAATCGTCACCCCCTTCAACGTAGTATCGCCCCCTTCAATAAAACCGTTACCTATTATCGCCCCCTTCACTTCAAAATTCTGATGTTGAGGACCAAGACTAACGCCAAATTCGTACTGCGTTGAATAGACTAGTGACTAGTATAATGTTATTTGTTTAATTATTGTACAATATAACGAATAAACTATATAATTAATCTTAATATAATGTTTTACTATATTGCCCAGAAAATTGTTTTTCGCCCCCCAAAATATAAATTGTTACTAATCGCCCCTCAACATGGAAAAACGCCCACATGGGGGCGATATCACCCCCGTTGAGAAACACTGATCTAGAATATAAATATGTTTGATAAAATCAAACATATTTATATTCTAGGTATTACTTGAGCATTTTTCATTTTTATTTTTAATAACTGATGGCATTCAAAACTTTTTATGTTAATTTGACATTTTCATTAGATATTTTACAATATTGTTATTAGATATTTAATAACAAACTAATTTTAGTATCCTCTCTGTGTTGAAATTTATTAATTAATTTTAGAATTATTAGCTATAAAAGTCCAATACCAAAATGATTTGTAGTAGTATTACCTTGGAATTTACATTATTTATATCAGTATACACTGCAAGTTGATCATACATGTCAAGATCTCGCGGATCCTGAAAGTTAAAAAATACAGTTTTTGATTATTTTGAACAATTCAAAAAATATCATTTCTAATGAATATATTTCTTACATTTTACAGTTTAAAGTTACGAAATTACTTAAATGTTTTTAGGAAATAATTTATAATTTATTTAAACATTCTCTTTTGCTAGCTTTTATTTTATCCTTCTATTTAGTTGAGACAAACTAATTAATACAATTCTAACATAATAATTAATATTGTATGCTTATAAAATCATACACTTATTTAAAAAAACTACTTTAAATCTTCAAATAAATATACAAGTAAAATTCTTCTCTACTGAAAATTAGATTCTAGCACTATATTCTTAATATGAAAGAAAGATTCTTATTATATTGATTGTAATAGATACAAATCTTGTCAATTAATGATTGGTTGGTTGGTTTTTTGGCACAAGAACGATTATAGGCTAAGCTGCACAATGTGAAATGGTAAAGGTTTTTAAAAATAATAAATACAGGTAGACCTCGGTTTATGCCACAGTTCTGTTCCTACAAAAGCCGTCACAAATTGAATCGGCGTAAAATGAACCCATATTTACAGTGAGGTATAGGATTAGGTTCTACATAAGTGAAAAATAAGCAAATAATTTTGTTTATTAATACAATATAATACAAAATACATATAAATTTAATTTTTAAAATGTATTTTATCANTTTAAAAGAGTCCTTAATTATTAAATTAATACATAGGAAAATTCTTCTCTATTTAAGAGTAGATTAAAAATAGATAAAAACTGCATTATACCAATTAATCACTAAAACATAACTTTAAATCTAAAGTATTAATCAATTTATCAAATTTACTTCTCCTATTCGCCTGACAACTTCTTCGTTGACGGGATACTTTAATTTCATTTTTTTATATAAAGCGTGTTTCTCATAGTAATTCACTAATTCTACTAAATTTTCAAACTGGGCCGAGCCTATCGTAAACAGTCTGCCTTCCTGCTTGATTCGACAGTGTTTTATTTTATTGTCGGCTCTATAAATAAGTAACAATCGTTATTTATTCAGTTATAACAATATAATTTCAAAAATAATTAAGTCTTTATATTAGAGTGAGTTGACAACATACAAAAGTTATGAGTTTCCGTACAATATTCAAAGACATTCTGTTTACAAAACATGTAAAGGGACTTCATTTTAAGAAACAAAATTTCAAATTACACACAAAATGTAATCAAATTGCTTTGTTCTAAGTAAAATACATTTTGTTTCAATTAAATATCACAGACATAATTTGAAACAACAAATTTTATTTAAAACTATGTTTATTCTATAAAACTTGTTATAAAACATTTAAATATTTATATTTAAATTTTAATTTGTAGTTGTATTAGTTGTATTATTATTAACTAATAAAATAATTTAATAATACTATAATGGTAAAATTATTAGTTAAATATTAAATGTTAAATATTCTACAATACTATCTATAAAATAATTTTTAAATAAAATACATTTAATCTTACCTAAAAGATATAGCAAAACAGTTCTCTTCCCTTTCGCTGGGCCTCACCAAAAACGATCCGTCGTAACTGACTCTTTTTAGCATTTTCTCCGCGTCGGCTCTGGTCATGTCGCGGCAATACCATCTGAAACAATTTTTTTTTAAATTAAGGAGAAACCCTGAAAGAGCTGTTTGTTTCACATGTGTACATATTGCATATTTAAATTTATATTTTCCTTTATGTCTGCATTTTTTTATTTGACATTTTATAGCTATAGATGTAGTTTCATAGATTTCTAGATTAGATTATACATGTTTAAAAATTAGACAAATAAATTAAAATAAAATAAATAATTATTAAATATATTGGTTAACCTAAACTTACTTTTAATCATTCAGTACACACATGCAATTATTACAATAAATATTTGACAAAAATTGTAAACATATTTTACTCACTCTTTTCCTTCATGTTTATTAGGCTGGGGAACAGGTTCATTGAGATATAAAAATACTCTCTGACTACGAAGCGGATGAGTCTGATAGTATGTAATGAGACTGTAAAGCGTGTCAAAGGCCACCGTGTCTATAAGATAATATTTTGTCTGACCGCGTTCCTGTCTCGATCGTATCCGACAATGGTCGACTCGACCCTGGTGCCTAATAAAAAAAATAAAATCTGTTATTAAGTTGCCGTCACGTGCGGTAATAGCAATATTCCACAACTACCAATTTTTTCATAGGCATATTTCACCAAATTGACTTACTTAGCTATGCTTCCATGATATTCTCATGCTACATGATGTGTAAAAATTTTGATTAAAATAAATTTTTTCTGCTTATCATGTGCCATCAAAAATACTGATGTGAAAAACCAGCAACTTATACATACAATTGTGTACAATTTTTCTTTTTTGACATATGATTGCATGCATTATGCATCAATTTTCCAATTTTTAGTGACCCAATACAGTTAAAAATAATGTCCAGGAAGTCTTACATGACTGCCAAAAGAGGTAGAAAAGATCATGGAAGTTTGTCAGTTATGCACGGGGTAATGGCATTGAGGTGTGCAAGTTGCTACAGTCGTGAATGCTTGTATCTGTAAGTTAGCCTTAAGCATTAAGACCTTCAACGATATAAATGTTTTGCGACTTTACTTAGTGCCCAAAATCTACAGAAAAATCTTTTTCTGATCCTTCTGAGAAACATCTCCGTCCTCTTTCCATTTATTTTCAGCTGAACTTACTTCATATTAGCCAAAGCTATTGCAAAGTTTAAAGGACTCCCTGTAGGAATCCGGTAAAGGATACTGTTCCATAAATAAAACAATATCTCATAAACTAAATAACATATGTCAATGAAATTTGGCACATGAAGTGAGAAGACACATCACAAGATTTTTCAGAATTGTCAAATCTGAAGTATGGCAATTATATGCAGCATAAGTATACATGAAAAATCAGCAGAAAATTACTGTGTTAAGCACTTTCACGTGTTAAAAACTGCACATGATTGCAGATTAAATAAACAAATATAAATAAATTAGAGAAAATGAAAAAATCAAATGATATTTACTAAACATGTACTATAAATAAAAATATACATTTCACGCCAATAATTGTTCATAAATAAATAGAACTGTCTTTCAGCATTAAAATTCTTTACAATGTCGAAATTAACACTTCAGTGATAACAAAAAACCATCTTAATGATAGGTGTTAAATGTTATAAGTGTAAATTTAATAAAACAAAAACTTTCGACATTGCATTAATGTCTTCTTCAGGTTAAAATAAAACATTATTTAATTACCATTATGAGATCGTTTAACCAAACAAACATATTTAAAGTTGTAAATGTTAAAATTTGAACATAAATATAAATTGAAGATGCTAAATATAATGAATTTTATAGGGAATAAAAGAATGATAAAATAATAAAATAAATTCTGCTTCAAAAACGTAGGTCATCCTATATGTGCAAGCGAAGGCTTCTTTACATTTTTGCAATAATTTTTGTCAACCCTGTCTACATTTTTTTACCGGATGCTTGCTCTCTGGTGTTTAAAACAAAACTATTTTATCTGAGTTGTTTGAACCATTCTTGTGTATTGTCAGGAGTAAAGATGAATAACAATAAGAAAAGCTTTTGAATTGAAATTCCAAAATTGGCTTACCAGTGGCCAAGCAGTTCTGTTCCCTGAACACTAAGAGTCTGGTCTGGGTTCGCACCTTGCCAGAATGGGCTGGTCACATGGAGTTTTCCGAGTTTTCTTTACGCCTGTAATGCCTGAATAGGAGCCAGTTACCTTTTAAAAGACCTCCTGGAAGGCATCCCTGAGGCAGATCACCCAAGTGTTGCGTTACCGTAACTTAACAAAACAAACAAACAAACGAAATTCCAAAATCACACAAGAGCCTAATATAAGCTTTAATCCATTTCCATGTGAAAACAGATGATTATTTGGTAATTAGAATTCATTGAAACTCATAAGTGTAATCAACAGAGAGTGGATTAGACTGTTAAGAATTGGCAGAAAAGTTCCTGATTATCCAGCTTTACAGTACATGAACAAATTATGTTGTTGATTTTACAAGATTTTTCCTTAAAGTTTAAATGCCAGTAATTTTTGCGGGACAACGTGTGCATTTACATGCATTTGATAATATTTTATTTGTGATTAAACAAAATAAAATTACAATTGTATTAATAAATCTAATTTTCTTTATTTTGATCTTTAAAGTCACATCTCATCCTATATGTAAGATTGTCTTATACGCAAGTAAATACAGTAACAATCAAAAAGCTTTTCCTTAAGTATTCTTGAATCTCATTAAATTCAACTTCAGAAGTAAATTTATTCTTATTTAATACACAATGAATGAACTTATATCTTCAGAAGATGAAGTGTGCAGACTAGAAAACATTTAAGAAAAAATTTTTCAGATCTCTTCTTACTTTAAATGCTTTTGGCCACTTTCTCAGAATTAGAAGTAAAAAGCTTTTGCATTAAAATGTAAAATATTCATATTACAATCTTTTTATAAACATTAAGACCAAGGATCTTTCTATAAGTTAAAAATAAAACCATTATTAATAAAAGTTAAAGTCTAATAGGAAATTGATAGATTTTATGCCTGATTTTAACTGTCTTTTAATTTTCCTCACTATAGTTAATTTGCACGTTAACTTACCAAAACGACAAAGAATAATCGCCGACAAAAGTCTCGCTCTCTCTTACTAGGAATGTGCCATCGCCAAGTTTGGAATACTGATGTAGAAGTTCTTCGGCCTTGGTCCTACCGCCCGGTAATTTTCCGTGAAACCACTTTTCTCCAAAATGTAGTTCGTCGTTGGGGACACCCTAAATAATTGTTTATGTATATATTAATTTTGGAAAGAGTAATGATAAAATAAAAAAATAATTATTTTAACAAAAACAATTCTCTAAATTTTTATTCATCATGTTAAAATTACATAATAATCAAAACTAATTTACAATTCTATCCATTATTTCTGTAAGAGCTTACAAATTTATAAACTGTAAACTGTGTAATTTCTTTTATCAACTTGTTTAACATCAGTTACCATTTTTACAAATCCAGTAAAGTCTTCATTGAAACAAACGATAAAGTATACTAATACAGTATATTGTAACTGCAGTTGCATACATTTGTTAATCAAAGAAAGTGCAATCACTATAATAGGGTCCTTGTGATAGGGTAATCACTACAATGAAAGAAACTAAAGTGTCAATTTAAATCTAAATTCTTCTTGTAACAGGTTCTTCAATTATCTTTGAAAATAATATGTAAATTTAGTTATATTTATCCCTTGTATTGTTCGAAATAATTAATAATAATAGATATAATATTGTAAAAAAAATATGGTGTACAAACACACTGCTACTTTTCAAATTTAATTTTAAAAGATATACTTTTTCTTTATTAAATCTGCAGATATAAATATTAAATCTTTTAATCCTTTAATTATTTCTACAAATAACTAGAATTTTTAAAAGACAGTATTTAAAACATAACTAAGACAAAATAATTCTATTTTTTGAATAATGTTTTTATTATTGTATTGCATTAGTTTAAAGATTGGAAATGAATTAGTTACTGTTTCTACATCTGAACAACTGCTTCTGAGAATACAAACAAAAGTTTCATAATTCATGAATTCATTACATTTGCCTATAAAATCAGATTTATTTTACTGAACATTGAAGAAAAAACAAATTTTTATAATCTATTATTTATGAAAAAAAATCCATTTTTATTCACCTCTCTCTGATGAATATTTCTTTCTCCTTCATTTTCTTCATCATCATCTTGATTTTGCTGTTCTTCAGTATAATACATTTTATTTTGAGTTAACATAAAAAAATGAGGTTTCCAATCCTGAAATTTAAATAAATTTTAAAATAAATCTGTCTAATTAAGGCTGTTGTTTGTTTTAATATTAATACATCAGGCATATATACATATATCCTCTTTTCATTGTAACAAGTAGAATTGTTTATAAAATAGATTTAACAAAACTTTCCTCAAATACAGAAATTTTCAGACCTTGTCAACGGGATCTTCGAGATATAAAAATCCATTCTTTATCGCATTACTAACATCTTGATCGATATTAACTGAAATTAAATATATGTCATCAAAAATATATTGGACATGTTAATATAAATTATATACATTTTGAGTAAATTAAGGCATTAATAATGATAAAATGTAGCCTAATTGCATGTTTGTAATAATGTGATTGTTTAACATAACTAAGAGTGGGAAACAGCAAGTTGTTATTGAGGGTGATGCTAAAACATTGTTGTTAGATCTATTGAAATACATATATACTGTGCTTCATAACTTCAATGCCTTGCTCCATATTATTCCATCAATGGCCTTCCAACTCCAAATACATACACTATATTCCACCATAATAGCACTCACATGCAAGGCATTTGTCTTTCCCTCTAATCAAGCAGCAGTTGACAATGAGTTGCAGTTAGTATCAGTTGCAGTTCATAAGGGGGTTATAAACCTGCAAAATTCAAATACCTTGTTAACTATACTAAGACAAACACCTGATTTCTATTTGCCGAGTTTTTTCTTTATTCCGAACGTTTTCAGCCTATTTGGATAGGCCATCTTCAGGCTTTACAATCATCGTTCCAAATGGAACCATTTATTCAAATTTATTTCATTTTGAATTTGAACGTTTTAACAACTTTTGTATATATATAAGTAAATAAATAGCTAACTAAATAACATCAAAACGCATTGCAACTTAACAAAAAACAGAAACAAAAATTATACCAAATTTAAATTCATCTAAAAAACTAATTTCTATCTATAATCCCCAGATCATATTTTTATGGATTATTAAAACCCATACTTTTTTTGATTTTGTATTTCCAAGCCGTTGGTAATGCATTTGCATCTTTTACATTTAGGCATTGGTCCCTTATTTTACTTTTGTTGATCTCTATTTTTTCCATTTCCATCACAATGGATAGTGATTTCCCTGTTCTAACGATCCTTGCTTCATCCCATTTGACTACTGCTCCATCTGACTGTGCCATACTTGCCAATATCGTGCTATTAAGTCCTTTATTAACACTATATTTGTGCTCCTTTACATGTACTGTAAGGTTTCTTCTGGACACCCCTACATACTCTTTATCAATTCCTAATTCTTCCATTCTAATTTTGTCCTTATCGTTTCTTAATAATCTATGTATATACTGGGTGCTCGTTTGTAAATTATCTTTACATTTTTGTATTTTCCCAACTCATTCACTACTTTCCTTGTTTGTTCATTGTATGTGAACTTGTTGAATGCAGTATTGCTGTTATGCACTGTAGCTGTAGTATTTTGTTTACCATAGCTTTTGATAAGGCCTCTGATTGTAGACATTTTGTATCCTAAACTCCTTGCTACCTTTTGAATTCTATTAATTTCCTTGTTTCTGTCTTGCACATTGGTGCAGTACAAGAAGGCCCTTTTGATAAGTGCCTTAAATGCAGATAGTTTGTATTTATACGGGTCCTTCGACCATGAAGGTATGTATAAAGGAGCGTGTGTGGGTTTCAAATATATGGCTATTTGTATATTCCCTAGTTTAAATTCCATGTTATTATCCAATAAATGGAGGTTTTTTTGGCTTTTTTGTTCTAACTTTAGTTTCAATCCATGTCCATTGCTGTTTATTGAAGTTAAGAAATCATTAATGCATTGGTCATCTTTCCAAATTATTAATACTACGGATTGCAATCCAGCAGTGTTTTCAATCCAGTTGGATTTTTGTGGGACCAACATCATTCCAGCTGGATCCAGTGCAGATGTATTTTTGGTGCAATAAAGTGTTATCTATCTATCTATCCAGCAATTTATGGCTTTTTTTTTTAAAAATAAAGCATTGTTTTTAAATACTTAAGAAACTTATTATTATTTAGACTGGTCACTATAAATCAATAAAACTTCTTACACATTTAGGTAGTAACTTTGGTTCGGTTTAAGTCTTGAGATAGAGATAATTAACTTTAAATGTTTAGTTAGATTATAATTATAATGTAATCTTTAAGTTAAATAATAGGAAAGATAATTCTACAAATTAATTTGTATTAATATATTATATTATAATAATATAAGGACAGATAATCAGTGGCTAAGTGGCTATCAGTCTTACCAGTTTTCTTATATAGGCTTTACATATCAGTCTGTAAATATTTATAAGTAATTTAATTATTAGTGTTAGTAAAGTAGTGAGTAAGTAATTAGTAGTAGTCTAGTAGTTAGTTATTATTATCATAATCATGAATCACACACATTCATATCATCATATATCTAAGATACCGATACTCATTAATTTAATTAACTATTTAACTAACTAGGTAGTCTCAGTTTCTCACCAATTTTCACAATAAAATTTCCTAGCCTAGCCCACTAACCACTTATAGAATAAAAGTTAAAAACTCTTACTTAATATAATTAGAGTAGGAGTTATAAAATATTAGTCTTGTCTTGAATAAAGTATTTTAAAGGATTAAATAAAATTAAATCAATCACTTCTGTTATTTTTTTGACTATTCTGGAAGTAGGATCTCAAGAAACAAATGGTATTGATGGTGTTGTCTCCCAACCTATGTCTTAATGAACTGCATATATATCCCGCTGCGGAGAAGGCCCTTTCTGCCTCTATGCTAGTTAGTTTCAGGGTCATCAAATAACAATAAATCAAAGATAAGTTTTCACCTCTGACTCCCTCATTTTCATAAACATCCATTTCCTTTTTTAATAACTTATCACAATCCTTCTCAGTACTAGTTTCTTTCCGTTTCATGAAGTTTTCTTTCTCACGCTTTAGTTGGATCTCCAATTCTTGTTCCAATGTGAAATTCAGGGAATCCAGGTTATCTGGATTATCGTTTTCCACCTTCATAATATCCTCTGCCATTGCTGCTGGTTCCACCAGATATGTATTTACACGATTAAGCACATTTTTCATCTCCTGATGCATTACATTTTTTTTTTTTTTTTTTTGGCATTGTGAAAGAATAATCTGGCTTTCTAACTTTTTGGTCATACTTCTTCGGGTTCTGTATGTAAATCAGCAGCCTGTAACCTCGGTAAGACGCCGTTCTCTGATTCTTTTGCGAAGTGCCTCGGAAAGGTCGGCACTCAAGATTGGGCCCCGGCTTATTACTTTGTCTATGACAAATTTTAGGGTTGTGTCAGCAGTTATTAAACTTGACTCTCTTCTACAGAGAGCTTCTATGGCCAGTTTAACTGGTTGAAGACTGGTGATTAACTCATTGATTAGTGACCACTCGTCAGCGGTGAATTTAGTGTCTGAGCCAGGTCTATTAAGGCTTTATCGATGCAAACTTTTACACTGTAGAAACATTCCAGCATGGAGACTATTCCATCTAGTGCAGCAGTCAAGAATCAAACTCAATTTTTTGCCCTTTGCTTCTGTTACATATTTTTGCAAAAACATATCATCTTTGGTTGCTGATTTTTTAAAAGTCGTATTCTGTTGTCAAGTGTAGTAGGCCTCAGGGTGGAGAGAGAAGTGGGCCATGATGTTGATTTTTGAGTCAACGAAAGCCGCAGTCACAGTGTTGGTGGTTTTCAATCCATCAGTGGCAACAATGGTGTTTATATTTTGATGGGTAGTTCCATTCCTTAAAGGTGTAGAACTAGCCGACCGCGAGAGATAGCAAGTGTGTCAGCATCAATATCTGCCAGACTGCCTGTTAAACATTTGATAGGCTTAGCGGAGAAAGCGACGTGTCTCTCGATCATCGCGCAATCACCGGAAAAAAGTATGAAAACTTTCTTATTTTTCGTCTCCGGTAAAATATTGATTCAGCTGAAATAAAAAGTCTTCTATTAGCTAGTGAAGGTTATCTCCTGGAGAGATAGGTTAGGTTTCATGGACAAGCCACGAAAGTGGTGCATAATCTCGCAGCCAAAACGACGAGTGAAGCGAGCTGCAAGGCTGCAGCTCCCCATAGGCTTAAACTGCGATCATTCCGTCATGTGATTCACTGACGTTACAACCGACCGTAAACTAGAATTATGCACCAGGACTAGGAGAGGAGTTACTTATTTTATTTAGTGTGAAGACACTTTATTTAGTGAGCAGAAAGTCAACTGGCAATTAGATCAGCAGAGGTAAAAGGGCAGGCAGTGCAGTGTAGAGAGGGGGTGTAGCACGTGCCGCACTGAACAGCAACGTCACTCTCGCCGCCAAGCGATAGCGCACGCAGAAATGCAGCAACACCGACAACGCAGACTTTTGCACCATTATTTAGAAAGTTAATTGAGTATTTGCGGATCCGCAGCACTGAATCCAGCAAACCGAAGAATGTGCTGGATCCAGCTGGATTGCTGGATGAGGGATCCAGCAATTGCAATCCCTAATTAATACATCATCAACATAGCATTTGTATATTACATATATTATTCAACATAGCATTTGTATATTACATATGCTATCGAAGAAATCTTTGAGGATGTTCTTTTCCAATTTCTTATTACTAGTTCACATAGGAGTCCTGACATAGGACTTCCCATAAGGACTCCTTTCTTTTGCTTGTGTATTATTCCATTGAATTTAAAAAAGGAATGAAAACAAATTAGTTTTGCCAAATCTTGTAGTTTTCCATGAATTTCTCCACTTCTGGATTTTGTTGTACCATGAATTCAATTAATTCATTGAAGTATGAGGTTAGATTTATGGAGGGGTACAGATTTACAAAATCCAACACAGTTCCTATTTCATCGTTCATTAAATTTAAGCTTTGTATTTCTTTAATTACTTTAGTTGGATCATGGGTTACGTAACCATTATCTTCCATTTTTTCATTTATGTACTCCTTTAATCATTTTTCTAGTGTGTACGTTGATGCATTACATTTCTCTACCACAGGCCTGACTTCTTTATTTTCTTTGTGTTTTTTCACAAATGCGAATATTCTCAGCATCTGTGGATTAGGGTTATGTGCTCTTTTTAAGAGTGTTAAGATGAACTTGGAAAAATACAAAAATGTAAAGATAATTTACAAACGAGCACCCAATATATATAGATTATTAAGGAACGATAAGGACAAAATTAGAATGGAAGAATTAGGAATTGATAAAGAGTATGTAGGGGTGTCCAGAAGAAACCTTACAGTACATGTAAAGGAGCACAAATATAGTGTTAATAAAGGACTTAATAGCACGATATTGGCAAGTATGGCACAGTCAGATGGAGCAGTAGTCAAATGGGATGAAGCAAGGATTGTTAGAACAGAGAACTCACTATCCATTGTGATGGAAATGGAAAAAATAGAGATCAACAAAAGTAAAATAAGGGACCAATGCCTAAATGTAAAAGATGCAAATGCATTACCAACGGCTTGGAAATACAAAATCAAAAAAGTATGGGTTTTAATAATCCATAAAAATATGATCTGGGGATTATAGATAGAAATTAGTTTTTTAGTTGAATTTAAATTTGGTGTAATTTTTGTTTCTGTTTTTTGTTAAGTTGCAATGCGTTTTGATGTTATTTAGTTAGCTATTTATTTACTCGTATATATACAAAAGTTGTTAAAACGTTCAAATTCAAAATGAAATAAATTTGAATAAATGGTTCCATTTGGAACGATGATTGTAAAGCCTGAAGATGGCCTATCCAAATAGGCTGAAAACGTTCGGAATAAAGAAAAAACTCGGCAAATAGAAATCAGATGTATGCCTTAGTATAATTAATATTGCTGAGAGAGAGACAGATAGATACCTTGTTAACTGTGTAAAAAGAACAGTCTTTCCACTAACCACTCTGTGCACAAAAAGAACCTTATCTACAGCTCACAATGCCATGCTTGGGACTGCTGTCATTAGCCATCACATGCACATCCAGAAAATTCAAGTTTATCATTCCACTGGCCCCAACTTACATTGCATGGGCATTTATGTAATTACAGAGATGAGGTCAACTTAAAAAGATACTGCAAAACTGTATGAGATTATAATAAAAGCTTATAATTTCTGGAAAACTTGGAAGTATATGCCATACCTCTACAACACCATCTCTCAGGGACAACAATCAATTATATTGAAGCTACTACTGAAATGCTCCAGACATCAGGAAAACATATGAAATAGCAAAACAGAACTGGCCAAAAGAACCAAGATTATGAATCTCTCTGGTCCCATGCATTAATTCTTAAACAATGCCAGGATGGAAGAATGTTCTTATGGGAGGCATTCTACATCTGCTTCCTACCTTGTAACAGTGTCACTGCCAACATTCCAAACTATGGATAACATTATTTAATTGGTTTAAATCATAAAACTATGGACTAATTGTAAAAAAGCATTCCATTTATTGTTTAAAAACCTTTTAACTTTTAATCTTAATAATTTTTAATTTTTATCATCATCAAATTTCAAATTTTCATACATTCTATGGGCATGCATATGGAACAATTTTTAAAAATTTGCCTGTGATATTCTTATTTTGTTCAAGTAGAAAAATCTTGTTCAATGTATCAATAATTCCAATTGAAATGAAAAGCTCCTCCTAAGGCCTGATAAGAAGTTATAAGCTCTTGAAAAGTACTTGTAATTTTGAATAAAAAGTTATTTTTAACACCATAAGACAATGAGTTTATTACATCATAACTATTTTGATGTGAAGTGTAGTTAATTTTGTTATGATAACTGAATCATCCTGGTTCTCTGGTTTATATTAAAATACAGTAATACCTCATAGTCTGAAAGACTAACTTTAAGCATTCCAAAGAGAAAGCTGACCTGAAGTTTAAATGATGTTTCTACATTCAAACTTATGAACAGTGAAAATTGTGCTTGCTACATAAACACCATGTGCATCCAAGTCATCTCTCGTACTCACTGTAGAAGCATCGTTTGTGTTATGCTTGTGTGTTTTCAGTGCTTTTTTCACTTTATTTTTGATATGTTTGGTTATATATATATAAAACCCTACCTATTAACCATGGCATCCAAGAGTATGGAAGCAACAAAGTCTAAGGAAAGGTTTTAGTATTGACAACTGAAGTGAAAAAGGAACTTACTGCAAAGCATGAAAGCAGTACATGTGTGGCATATCTGGTAGCTATGTTTAAGATGCCGAAGTCAACAGTGTACACCATTGTTAAGAACAAAGAAGCAATTTAAAGTTGACTCTGAGGAATTATATTTTATTGAGATAAAAAAACTCCGTGTGAATGAGAAGAAATTGGCAGTCAATATTATCTCCAAGAGAATTATTTGTGAGAAGGCCAAGAAAGCTGCTTAGTAACTTTAAGAAATGGATCACCACCACTCTTCACTAAGGTACAGTAAATGCAATTTTCAATTTATTATACAGTATTTACATATTTTATTTATTGTTTTTATGCCTTAATTTATTATTTAGTGTATCTAATTATGCTATTTTTATCTTAAATTATGTGTATTTTCTGTTTAAATTTATTGAAATGGATATTGTTTAAGGTCTAGAAATGTATTAATTGACTTTTCATTATTTGGACTTTGAACAACCTTCAGAAACAAATTAAATTGGAAATGCAATACTACTGTAAATTATTATTAATATTTATTATTTAAAGCTACAATATTTACTTTCTTCATTCCTTGAAAAAACTGTATTTTCATCAGTGCCTTCAGGAAGTTTCTTATGCTATAAAAAGAATATTTTATTACTAAAATTATTTAAAATAATAAATAATTAACTATATATCATAATGATAAAATATAAAACTGCAATATTTTAATAAAAATAACATAAAATATAGATATTATTATACATTTTCTGAAACATACAGTACACAGGAGCTGTGCATTGTTAACTTTTTAAATTATTACTTTAGAAATTTAATATACAATTTTTATATTAATCTGTAGAAAATATCTGATCAATTTGATCAGATATTTTCTTACACTGTTAACTTTCACTGAGTGATGTATGCTTGAATAACTCTAAATAATTTCTTAACAAAATCTTTCAATCATTTGATTTTTAATATACAAAAACATTTATCAAGCAATCCATAAAGTAGTACTCATTTTCAAATGAACAAATTCAAGCAAAGACTGGATTGTTAGGGTAAAGGTCTTTTATCATTAACTCTAGTGTCGATATGTTAATGATAATTCGTCCATTCATAGCGCAGGATAGAATGACAAATTATATGTACCAGCAATGTCTTCAAAAAAAACTTTATTGAAGTTATTTACACAGATCACAAAGCAGTTACAAACTTTACAGAGAGAGAGAAAAAACACAACTATATAAAAAAACAGGGATTTTCATTTTTTAAAATACGGAACAAGATCTCGCGAGCACTATAGTTGAGGAGTTGTAAAACATGTACGTCTAACATGGACAATATGTGACTGCAAATGCCGAGCACTTGCAGTCACATGTTGTCCAGTCTCTGTATGAATATAATTGTGGTATGATGGCCCATTGTATCACAGTGTAAGTTTAAAATAAACAAGAAAGTAAAGGATCCTACTGTTTGTAAAGTGAAGTCTGTCATTTGTTTTATGAATGCAAGAAAGTGTGAGATCATGTAAAATTCTTTGTCAAATTTGGACATGTATGGTGATGTTATAGACAAATCAACAGTGTGGTAATGACGTTAAAAGTTTAATGAAGGAAGAAAGAACATCCAGGATGAACAACGAACCAGGCACCAATATGTCATTATGAATGATTTCATTAAACTGAATTAGTGTTAAACTCTTGATGAAATTTATGAGGCATTTCTACATGATTCTCACAAGCAATGCCCCACAAAATGGTCACAGTGCACCTCAAATATCAAAAAATCTGTGAGATACGTTCCATGCATGCTTTCAATACAACACAAAACAAACTGTACCTGGTGTTGCTTTGTGTTTCTGGGTTTCTGGATTAGTACTCAAGAGGAGATACACTCCTGACTTATATTATGACAGGTGGCAAAACATGGGTTACTATAGTATGCCCATGAGTAAACACCAGTCAATGCAATGGTATCACACACATTCATCAACCAAACCACAAAAATGCAAACACTCTTTCAACATGAAACATCATGGCAGTTTCTTCTAGACAGAAAAGGAGCCACTGCTTGTAGAGTTCCTTGTTCCAGAGAGCCACAATCAATGCTGACGCTGAAAAAACTGTGGCAAGCCATTCAGAATTGCAAATCACAGGAAAGGACTGTTGTCTGCTAAAACTGTCTTCCTTCATAACATCTGTCCCCACAACACCCAGACAATGAAGAACTCCTTGCTAGTTTTTATCAGAAGTCTTGGTCCATCTAGCTTACAACTCAGACCGGGCATAAGCAACTTCAGCTACAGGAAAAGATTGCTATCTTTTCCTGTAGCTGAATGCCTTGGATGGAATACACTTTGCAATGAAAGAGGAGTTAAAGGATGCACTTACTACATTTCTGTATGGACTGGTGGATAAAGGAGTACGACACAAGCTAGGTCAGGTTAGGTAACTACTGTATTTCCCCAAAAATAAGCCCTAGCATGATTTTTCAGGATGCTCACAATATATGTCCTACCCCTAAAATAAGCCCCAGTTAAGATCGTCGGCCAGATGAATGTATTTAATACGTCCGTTGCAACCCACAACGGATGTACTGAATTATAAAATAAAAATATTAATATGGTTCCAATTCCACATAAGTACTAATACAAAAGTTACAAAATAAATTTATATTACAGAAACAAAATTAGAAACGATAGGACGAGTGTTACCGTACGATTAATTAATCTATGAACTCAACCCTAGCACGATTTTTCGGGATTCTCGTAATATAAGGTCCATCCCTNATAATTAAATATAAATGATTATTATTATTGACATTAATTCTTAAAATAAATGATAATAAAAATTATAATTAAACATTTGCAAATACCCAAGCAAGCACTTTTGGATGAGACATCCCCTAAAAATAAGATATAATGCATCTTTTGGGGTAAAAATTAATATAAAATCAGGGACCATATTCTGGTCATTGACTCTTGTCTCTGAGACATAGTATCTATGTTACAAGCTGGTCACTGATTGGCTAATCATTTGTTTACGTCTCGAGAGATCATCACATCTCTCCAAACGCGATTCTGGACAACTTTTTCTCTCAAAGATTCTCTTGTCTCTCAGAGACAAGTGGATAGTTGTCTTTTGACTGGTCTCTCATCTTTTGCCTTAATTTCATTATATCCAATATGGATGACTATATGCTACTCGCACTGTACAATTGTATTAGAGAATGTTCTCTATCTTGGTAAAGAATATTTTGAGTGAGAAAATGCTTCTGATTTTTTCCCAGTGCCTATTCAGAAACACCAAGGATTCCATCATTTTTAATTATCCTACATCAATTATTAAACTATTGAATATGATGTTAATCTTATCTGCCTCTAAGTATTTTTCAAGATATTGCCATCTAATTTCTCCTTAACTAAGTACACACACTTTTCTAACTTAAGTTATTAAAATTTTTATTTGTTAAGAGACAATTTGAATTACAATCTGTAAAAATGTTATAAAACAAACAACATATCTTCGTCAAAATTACGTGCTTTATTTGAGCTCGCGATTTCCTCATCACGTAATCTATAAGTACGTACTCTGCATTTTTGAAAATTTTACAATTTCATTGATTAAAATTCTATACCATGTTGCGCATGCAGAAAACCCAAACATGTATAATCAACCTAATAGGATCGTGATGTGACAACAAAGACGAGATGGTTAAAAGTGGCCAGAATCACCTCTGTCTCTGAGAGATGAATTTTGTCTCTTGTTTTGATGTCATTTGTCTCTGAAAGAAGAGATGAGAGGTAATTGACCAGAATATGGCCCCAGGTCTTATTTTTGGGAAAACATGGTACATCACAGTGACTTTTTTCTGATAAATGTCGTTGAGGTTGAAAACTCTCGAAATGCTCAAACACAGGTTTCATAAATAAAGATGATATTATTAGAATTTATTTTCCAGCAGCAAAATGTGTTCTTGCCTGTTTCTTGAACAGTAGTATGTGTTGTTGTAGGATTTTTGATAAAAGTGTCATCACTGTATCATCACCACATACTATTTTCAAAATGTATAAAAGGTTGTGTCTTTGCTCTGAGGTAAGGTAGGTAGGTATGTAACTAATATCTGGTCTAGGCAGCATTAGCTGGTTGCATTGCATTGGGTTACTATAGCACTGTTGCCACTACTAAATTTCCAACCCACATATGTTTAGCAATTAATATTAATTCATTATGTAATATTAAGTAGTTGTGTATTTTAATTTTCAAAACAAAGTTACTTTAAGGACTTCTGAAAATGCAACTTTTATGGATCATTGTTAAATAAAGAAAACTTTTTTCCATTACAGAGACCTACTATGAAGCCCTGAAATTACTAGAAAATGGAATTTCATTATCTTTTGAAGACAATGTGAATATTGTATAACTATTTTTTAAAATGATAATTTAGAAAATTGACCATTCACTGGCACTGAGACTCATGTGTATTGAAAATCTTTTTAACTTATTTCGACTGAGGAAGGCAGTCGAAAACGTTTGTTGTTTTCATTAAATATATTTTTACTGGTCAAGTAAAGGTTTTTATGTGTGTTTATATTAAGTAAATTAACTTATTTCTTTAATTCTTTAACTTTTATTTCCATAAAAACATCCAACTTACATAACAATATCACAGCTCATTATAAAAATCATAATTATAATTAATATTTTATAAAATTAAATACCTTAATTATTATTTTCTTCTTTAGCTGATGTGGTGATGGCATTTTCACTTCATCTTTGTCTATAGGCTGAGTCAAAAGCATATCTAAATTAAAATTTAATTGTTTTAAAAACTTTTAAATAAATGTTTATTCATAAAACAAATAAATTGAATCAAAAAAGTATGAAAATACTGAGACAAAATCAAATTAAAAATAAAACTGATAAACTTTTGTAATAGAAATATTTGTAAAATTTCTATACAAGTGACACAGTTTATTCATTTTTCTATGAAAAGCTATTTTCAAGTTTGGTAAATAATATCTTCATAAAGAAAAAATAAACAAAAATAAAAACTAAGATAATTTACATAAAGTATGAGTAATGTTCAGAAAAATTCTAATTGAAGGTGAGATAAATCGAGTTTTGTCAAAACATTATTATTACAAAAGTAAGAAACATCAGACTATTTCAATATTTAGTAGACATTTTTAATTATGTTAGAATATCTCACTTGCTACAAGATTTTATAAGGCCCTGTACACACTAGGCGTTTTTCAACGCGCGTTTAAAAGAACCAAGAGTTCTATGTAGCCGTACACACTCAAAAGCCAAGCGCGCATTAAACGCGCGTTTTGCGAGCGCTTATAGATTTTTGTTAAAACGCGCGTTTTGCGAGCGCTTTACGGGCGCTTTGAGATATATGTGCTGCCATGTTACCGTACATGCGATCGCGCGTTTTGCGGGCGTCAGCCGAGCGCTTTGAGATATATGTGCTGAAATGGAGAACGATCATTTCGATACTGATCTATTTATTGATGAAATCTAAAAGAGACCAACCATCGTCAAAGGATTTTATAGATATTTTAAAAGAATTAAAAAACTTGAATTTATTTTGTCTTAGTTTTGGATACAACGTCGCAAACATTTCATGCGTCAGTCTATCTCGTAATATTGGGTGCACCCAAAATTCTCTTTGCCTCCGCCGTCGTCTTTTATAGCGACGATAGAGGATCCACACACAAGCAATCACTTCCACATCCATTTCCAAACCGAGCCAGTGCGCATGCTCCGCTAAACGCTCGTCGAACGCCTAGTGTGTACAGGGCCTAACACAAGATAGTAACATTTTGCTGATTGATTTTCCAAATCACAGAGAAACAATAAACACAAACAATTATGAGATTTTGAAAAAATTATGACAGACTATTGAAAACAAACAATAAGACTTACAGAGCATTACTTCATGAGAATGCACAACAAATCTATGTTCAACAAGCCTACTGTAAAACAACTCTGATGATATATATACCATCACCCACCCTAAGAACTTAGTCTTGTAACCTCTGACCTCTGCTATTTCTATACTGAAAGTCATGTTTAGTGGAACAATAATTTGACAGTGATAAAGAAATGACTAAAGCAATGCAAGCAGTGTTGTGGAGTCAGAATCGGAGTCATCAGTCAGATGTTTTAGGGTGGAGTTGATTATATTCTTCCAACTCTGGCAACTCCAACATTGAATTTTACTTTTGGTAAAATATGATTTATGAAAAATACTTTCTAATTAGTATCTAAAGAAATTTCTTAGAAAATGGACACTGATAAATGTTGATATCAAAAAGATTGTAAGGAGTCGATTCCAACTTGTTCTATTTTGTTTGGGGATTATTTTTTGTTCATTATTCTATTTATTTTGTGGCATTTTATTTTGTTAAGGATAGACTACTGCGCCTCACCCATGCACGACTGCTGGTGGCAACTTATGATGTCATCGACCCAGAAACGACATCTCTGGGTAGAATTTCATAGAAAGTTAAAAGAATAATCTCCCACTCCAAATTGTCATCAAAAACACAATAAAAGAATTATAAAACTACTTGTAAGGGATATGAAACGAATTAACAAGACCAATTACTAGAATGAATGAAGTTTTAATGAGTACAAGGTCTGTTCAAAAAATACATGGACTGACGTCATAAAACAAAATGTACTTTATGTAGAAGTTACAGGTCTGGGTCCCCTTCAAAGTACTCTCCTTCCCAATGCACATAGTTATCCCAACGGTGTTTCCACTTGTTGAAACAGTCCTGGTACACTTCTTTTGTAATGTCTTTCAGCACCTTCGTTGCATTTGCCTTAATCTCGGGAATCGTCTCAAATCTTCTTCCTTTCAAGGGTCTTTTGAGTTTGGGGAACAAGAAAAAGTCACAAGGAGCAAGGTCAGGTGAGTAGGAGGTGGGGAAGAACAGTGATTGAGTGTTTGGCCAAAAACTCATGAGTTCTGAAGGCTAAATGGGCTGGAGCATTGTCATGATGAAGATACCAGTTGCTACTCCTCCACATTTCTGGCCTTTTGCAAGAGATGGAGTCCCTCAGACATTTCAGAACTTCAACGTAGTAAGTCTGGTTCCCTGTGGAGCATTGGGGGAGGTACTCATGGTGAACAACACCCTTAGCATCAAAGAAAACTGTCAGCATCACCTTGAAATTGAATTGAACTTGGCGAGCTTTTTTGGGTCTGGGGACGTTTCACCCACCCACTGGTTGAGCATAGCAAATGTTTCAGTCGCAGATTTTCCAAGTTTAACACAAAATTTCACAGCTAGTCATTGCTCCATCAGGTCATTCATTCTGAAATCTGACAAACGAAAAAAATTGCACTTTACTAAAAACCACGTAGCTAATCAACAAGTAAAGATATCTGTAATCGGGAAATGGTTTAATCACCAGACAATCTGTACAAACCTAGCGACACCAAGCTGATTCCTCTGAAACCAACTGGAGCAAACTGAAATTCAAACAGTCCGCGTATTTTTTAAACAGACTTGTAAGTATGTAAATAAGGTTAAGTGGGTATATGATTGTAACATCATTCCAAATGCAGAATAAGAAAGAAACAAATTGAAGAATCGAACAGGGTGGTGGTAAGGATCAAATAAGATTGACAAAAGGCTTTCCAGTTCCAGTGACATTTTTTTTGGTGATGGTTAGATGAATTAGTTAGATTCATTGAGCTTTTTCAACTTTTTTTTCATATTTTGCTTGTTAGTTTTTGTGGAGATAGTTCAAAGATTGTTGTAGCTTAATTTGTAAATCCCCAATTTTCAAAAGTTTTTTGTATATATTTGTTTTGCTTTTTCAATAAATTATCTTTATTTGCAAATTATTCTCTAACATTATTTCTTGATTATACATATTTGGTCTTTTACTAATAAATATATTTTTTTGCATTATATATAGTAATTATTTTGGGTTTTGACATTAATATCAATTTCCCATACATTTGGAAATAGATTATGAATAAAACACACCTTTAATAATCCAGCTAATAAAAATTAATAAGATAAAAACGTTTTCGATCATTCCTTAACGATCTTCTTCAGTTACTATAACATAGAATAAAATCGAACACAAAAAAGAACTTAAATACAAAATTAAAATATAAATAACGGAAAAGTAGCTGCGGTGATAAAATAAATATAAAATATAAATTAAGCCCAAAAAATGTCCCTTAACAAAAATAAGAATAAATAAAGCCATTAATTCTAGTAAAAGGATCATCATGTGGTAGGTAAAGAGTCTGCATCTTTATGGTTGATGCAACCAGTTTTCTTGTGTGCCTTAAAGATCTCTAATTTCTCTAGATTATCTAGAGAAATTAGATAATCTAAAGAATCTAGATTCTCTAGAATCTAACTAGATAATCTAGAGAAATTGTGTGCTCTTAAAGATCTCTAATTTCTCTAGATTATCTAGAGAAATTAGAGATCTTTAAGGCACACAAGAAAACTGGTTGCATCAACCATAAAGATGCAGACTCTTTACCTACCACATGATGATCCTTTTACTAGAATTAATGGCTTTATTTATTCTTATTTTTGTTAAGGGACATTTTTTGGGCTTAATTTATATTTTATATTTATTTTATCACCGCAGCTACTTTTCCGTTATTTATATTTTAATTTTGTATTTAAGTTCTTTTTTGTGTTCGATTTTATTCTATGTTATAGTAACTGAAGAAGATCGTTAAGGAATGATCGAAAACGTTTTTATCTTATTAATTTTTATTAGCTGGATTATTAAAGGTGTGTTTTATTCATAATATATTTATCCAGTTAGTTCATTATATAAGTATTTGGAAATAGAAAGTATGCTTTTCATTCGCTAGAAAATTTCAACTGAAAATAGTGTTTCAAATTTGACAGTTGTTATTGGTTAAAAAAATTCTTTTCACTGACACTGGTTATAAAAAATAACAAACTGTGCATAATCTTGAGCATACCAACTCTTGTTGTTTGCTAAGTCAGAATTATGAAGTACTGTGCGTACATCCTTGTAAAATATGATGACTAAGCCCTAATCAGTGTGAACAGAAATGCAAGTCATTTACATTACAAACAACATTAAAAAGTTGGAAAATGATGTAAAACAAAACAAATTATGTAAAGAAATACACATAACTAAATCGACAGTTGCTACCATTTGGAAGAAAAAACAAAATACTCACAAGTTTCAAATGTGACAATTTGAATGCTAAAAAGCTTAGAAAATCAGTGCATGATGAATTAGATCAAGTGTTGCTAAAATGGTTTTCTCAATAGAGACTTAAGAACACGACCATTAGTGGTGCTATATTGCAGTCAAAAGCAGAAGAGTTAGTAAGAAAACTGGACAAGAATGCCGAGTTTAAATGCAGTAGAAGTTGGATTGAAAGATTAAAAAAAAAAACATAGTATTGGAAGTTGAAAAATTGTTGGAGAAGCAACTGCAGTAAACATGAACATGGTAGAAGACTGGTTGCAAAATAAGTGACCAAAAATTAGAGAAAATTTCCAACATTTTGATATCTTTAATGCAGATGAAATGAATGCTTATTATAAGCTTACACCAAATAAGATGCTAAAATTCAAAGGAAAAAGCTGTGCAGGGAAAAAGTTATGTAAAGAAGCAGCAAATCTTATGGAAACAGAAAAAAGAAAATTGTTAGTAATCGGTAAATCAAAAATTCCAAGATGTTTTAAAAATCAATGGCTATCAGTAAACTACAAATCTAACCAAAGAGCTTGGATGACCTGTGACATTTTCTGTGGCAAACTGCAAAGATGGGATGAAAAACTGAGAAAAACACAAAAAATTTTATTACTGATTGACAATTGCCCGTGCAACTTAACATCAAGAACTTACATTGTATTACATTGGTGTTCATGCCGCCCAATACAAGTTCAAAACTATAGCCTTTAGATCAAGGGATTATACACAGCTTAAAGAGCAGCTATTTGAAAATTCTCCTTTTGAAAATGATAACTTCTACAGATAATAGGAAAAAATCATTTTCTATAAATCTTCTTGATGCAATAGACTTTGTCCATTTGGCATGGCAAAATGTACCAATGCAAATAATAGTAAATTGTTTTTGACATGCTGGTTTTTTACTAACTAATGGAGAAGAGTTAGAATTAGATGATAACCTTCCAATCAATGAACTTTTGAAAAGTAAACTTACAAATGATGGAACAAATATGTTCAAGATGTGCCCCTCTGCAGTTACTGGGTGCATTTTCTGACTATGATTTTGAAGAATATGCCAGGGTTGATGACATTGTTATTAATACAGAACTTTTGACCAATGATGATATTATAGCTTCAGTATCTTCCAAAACTAAGGAAATTAGTGAAGATAAAGATGATGATACAACATACGCAGACATGTCGACATTTCGATAACACCAATTTCTGAAGTTTTACAAAACACTATTGTTAATTGAAATTTTTTACAAATGCATAATACTCCACAAAATATTTTAAATAGTTTTGCCGAGGTGGTTCTATATATTATAGAATGCTATGCAACTAGCAAAAATCAACAAACAAAAATGAAGTTTTTAAGTAACAATGCATATTTATATTGATGTTTTATCATGCAACTTCCTATGTAATAATTTGTTACATTTTATCTTTGAGACATTACACTTTAGTTTTTCAAAATTACACTATGTTTAATTTCTTATCCAATATAATGAACCAGTTCCAATGGCCCGTACAGGTTTGCTATAAGCAGATACTACTGTATATAGAACTAATACTGGATAAAAGTATAACATACACACAAAAAAAAACAAAACCAGAAGTCCAGAAAAAGAAATGTAAAATTTAATCATCATCAGGTTCTAAAAACAAACATACAAATCAATCAAACAAAATCATTTTAAAAACAAGATGGTATACGATTAATTATTGAAACAAGCATAAATACTGGTGTTAATCAATTAGAAAAAATTGATTTACCAGATTTCAGAAAAGACCTCCATGCTCACAAAAGGGAATTATTATCCTTGTAATTGTGTTTTTCTTACATGCTTTGTATATCTCCAGTTTTTTCAAGTGCTTGAGATAGTTGATATCTGTGGAGTAATTATGAGATATGGTGTGGTTCGACACTTTTTGATTGACATTAGGTGTTCTTTTATTCAATGACTAAAGGAATAAGCTGTAGCTCCTATATACTCCAACTTTTGTGGTCCAACAGAGGAATGGAATAAACTCCCAGAAGTTGACATTTATCACAAGAGTAATCACACATTTTATGAAAATAATACTTACTACACAAAATAATTATTCTTGTAGTCAATTTACACATACATTTAGGAATATATAGATGTGATTAAACGTTAACAATATGCTATAAAATCATTAAAATAACTTTATTCTATTTAACTCAAGTTTATGAAATTATTTAAAGATAAATAAAGTAAAAAATATTCTTGTAAATGACAATTCCATAACCCAATTGTTAATTAAAACCACATGATCTGCCAAATTATTGGGCTATAATAAGAATAATTAAATGGTCAGAAACAAAATAATTTGTCTAGAGGTAGGAGGTTACACCACTATATTGTGTTAATTTTAATAATCATAATATATTTTAAATTTAGAAGCAGCAGCAGTGTTGTCAGCTTGAGAGATTAATCCCTCGGCATAGCGTGTTTTCCCCTACAAAGAGATTTTCTTAGAAAACAGCCAAAAATGTAGGGTGTTTAAAATACTTATTTTTAATCCCCATAGATAGAAATGCAACTCTAAAGAACTAGATTTTGTCTAATAACGACAATATGGCACAAGTACATAACTTTACTCAATATTGGCTCCTGGATTTGTAATGAGAGGAATATTTTAAGTGCATGAAAGATTTTTTACATATGTGAAAGAAATTTTTGTTTCCTATAACCTAACAACAGTAAGCGGAAGTTGTGGTTTTGAATCCCATTCAGGGTCTTCCAGAAAGTTCTAGTCTGATAGTATGATAATTTGGCAGATCGTTTTGCTTTAAAATTATTTTTGATTGATCCCACATCTTAACTGATCATGTGGAAATGACCAAAAAGTGAGAAAAGAGAGAAAATGGCCAGAAAGGTGAAAAAAGTGAGTACAAGTGAGAAAAGTGAGTGACTCCGAGGCCTGCATTTGAAGAAGAACTCAGAAGGAGTTGAAAAACGTTTAAGAAGTATTTGTTTTTTGTATTATACACAATGGAAGTTGGTTCTGTGTCTGTTGTATTCCATGGAATTTCTTCTATAAGCAATTGAGGCATTATTTGCTTTTTCTATCTCCCAGAAGATGCATCTGAGGTGTTTTTGTATCTTACTGGCTTGGTAGTTTTTACTTCCATTTTGTGGTGTGTAAAAAAGGATGTGTATCTGTTGATTTGACCCTTAATTATTTTGGACAGATAATCATGCTGTACAGTAAGGTGCATGATGTATTTTAGTTCTTCTGTCCTGGCTTCTTCAATAGAAGGGTGTGAGTGTGTGTGAAGGTCTTTCTTACAAGGGCTCTGAAAACTGCAATTTAAAAAAAAAGGGATCCCTTGAAGCAACAGGAATAAAAATTGAGTAGTATAAAAACTTATGAAAAATCGAGGTGATGATAAGGCCATTTCAAATTGTGATCATGATGTCGAGGAATTGAACTGTGGAAAGATTTTCCTACTCAACACATAGGTGGAGGCCAAAGGGATTGCTATGTATGGAATCCAAAAATTCTTGTATTCATGGTTGGCGGCACCAGATAATGAGAATGTATCTGGAGCATAACATTATGTTTTGCTCGAATGATGGGAGGATTGTTTTTCAGTTGTCAGTCTACAAGTTCACAAAGTGTATTGAAAAGTTGAGCCTCCTACTAAGATGCCTCTGCCTTCTTGTATGCTAGCCTTTCAAATTAGAAGAATGAAAAGTAGCAAACTAGGTCAGCCAGTTCCAGAATGTTTGAATGAATTTTCCAAGGTCACAGAGATGTTAGAACAGAAAGTTCCAGAGCTTGCAAAAAACAAGGCTCTATTTTTATTGATGATAGATTGAATCAATATTGGAGACTGTAATGCATGTTTTATTTCCAAGCCATATGTCATGCAGGTGTTCTACTGAATTTACAGGATTGTTAATAGTATGGTGGTAACTTCCATGTTGTCACTAATATAATGATTATGTATCCTTTCAATGTGTATTATCACAAAATAAATCTGTTCACAACAGGACATAGTTGAGTGCCAAACTTATGTATCTTGGTGAAAGCAGAAATCCTCATCAGTGGCAGGTTAGGAGGTGTTTTTCATATGTAATATGCTAGCTAAGAGAGTATTTGTAAAACACAGAACCCTGTTATGAAGTTTTTGTAGGTAACTGGTAAAAGCTTCTGTGCCCTCTGTGTCATTGATATATTTTATATTGCCTTGGTAGTATGTTGATCTCTTCATAACGTCCTTAGTCTTATCCACTTTGACAGCAATGATGTCATTGTTAGTCAGTCATCTTTCAGATGTGCTGGACTAACAATGACATCATCTTTTAATGGAGCTCTATGTGTAGCATCCTTGATTGTCAGTAACACGAACCACTTAAGTGACTTGTGCTACTGACAATCAAGTTCATATGGACCTGGACAAGGCATACCTCATATATCACTCCAGAGACACAAGAATTTGAAAAAACTGAAGATATATAAAGCATACAGGAAAGATAACACTTAATTATAAGGTCAATAACATAGTTTTGCAAGTGTGAAAGGCCCTTTTTGAAGTCCAGTAAATCAATTTTTTTAAATTGATTTACACCTTTATTCGCATTTGCTTCATTAACCAATCAGATAATGCCTTGTTTTTAAAAGTTTGCTGTAATCAGATGATGATTACAAACAGCTGTCAAAAATTTAGTTTCTCATTAAATTTTATTTCTCTTTTGGTAATTTTTGGTTTTTTGAATGTATGTTATAACTTAAAAAATTCAGCAATAAATAAATAAATTATTCACTAAATTCTGTTCCTCCAGAAAAAATCTACAGTTAGGCTATCTACAGAAACCCAGAGATCATTTGTTTCAAATTACTATAAACAACAACAAAATTAAATATCTTACCTCCAAATACTTCTATAAAGGCACTTGCCATTTTCCTTTGTTGAGGAAGAGTACAATGATTTTCGATAGAAAGAATCACAGGATATCTAAACAAATAATTTTCATACATTTTATAAATATAATAAACATTTATTTACCATTGAACACAAGACTGTGTTATTATTAAAACACTTGTTAATAATAAAATTATTAAAAGTGCCCGTATCAACTGAATAAAGTGGATAAACGCCAAGTGTTTCAATAATAACACAGTCTTGTGTTCAATAGTAAATAAATACGAAAACATGGTTTCAAAAAATGAATCAACTATAGTAAACATTCCAAAATCTGATGCATCCATATTAAACCAAATGATCACCGTAAATAATTGGGCTATATTTTGCTATTATTAATAATTAGATATTAAGTAATTTGGTATTAAAGGTAGACATTAGATGCTATCTTTTATCTAAATTAATAATTATAAAAATTTAATAATTTATTAAATGAGATAGAACAATCTGGAAGAAAAGAACTAACCCATAGTGGGATTTGAACTCACAACCTCTGAGCAATTCTTCACTTCCAGATGTATTTAAACTTAGATATAATCACTTATGGTCACTCACGGCACCAGCTAGGGACAACTCCTATGGTCATGGCCTAAGCACTCCTCTGCTATGGTACTTAGTTGGGTATTGCTTTACCTGACATGCTGTGTGTATGTATGTATGTATGTATGTATATAATAAACATCCCGAAGCACGATACATTGATACTAACCTTTATGGCAGTCATTTGTTTTATTATCAATGCCACCATCTCAGATAAAGCAGTAGCTAACTATGTGCCATAGCAGGGAAGTACTTAGGGTGTGAGCATAGGAATTGTTCTCAGCCAGTGCCATGAGTGACCATGAATGGTTATATCTAGGTTTAAATACATCTAGAAGCAAAGAATTGCTCAAAGGTCTGGGTGGAGTAACTGGCAGCACACCGCATGGTAGGTGAAGGTTGTGGGTTCAAATCCCACTAAGGGGTGGTTCTTTTCTTTCAGATTGTTCTAAATCATTTAATAAATTATTATAATTATTTAGATAAGAGATGGTACCTAACTTCTATCTCTAATATGAAATTACTTAATATCTAATTATTAATTTAAAATAATAGCCTAATTATTTATGATGATCATTTGGTTTAGTTTCATGCATTTTATTTTACTTTTTTAAATTATATTAATATAGAAACATTAAATATCAATTATGCCACCAAAATTTCCCTAGACTGTATTTACATTTTGAGGTGTGTTTGTCCTGCCAGCCCACACCCACCAGTACAATAATATTTACATATTATCTAATTAATCAAATCAACATGTTTTTAGCCTAATAGTTGATATTTAAAATAAGACTGGTAAAATTTATCTAAAATGGAATCTGAATAAAACAGAAACCCTCCTAAATAAACAAAACTTTGGAACAGAGCAAGCAATTTCCTATGTTAATTTTACTATAAACCAGTCTAATGAAAAAATGGAAGAGGTTTTTTGGGTATGAAAAATCATCTTAACCCAAATAACAAATTAAGAGTCTGCTGTGAATTAGCAAGTAAAATTGCCTCCAAGTCTAATGGTCACTGTTGAACATGACAAACTATCCCAAAAATGATTTGAACCTTTATAGAGAAATAAAAGTCAAACAATGAGGGACACGCAGACACAAGATCTTTGTAATATTAGTCTTTGTTGGAATTAACCAATGGTGGAATTGAATATTTTTAAGAATCAAGAGCTTTCAAAATTTGAATAAATTTCTGAGAACTGAATTCTTAAGAACAACCAACAAATGTAATTTGTTGAAAACAAAAAGAATAAGGTAACATATGATGTCAATTTTTCTTGTACAGACTACAGAGTAGTAAGTAACCAATTAGTATAGAGTATTCAAGAGCAAGACAATTAACATTAGTTAGTGTTAAAATTTTTTAAGAAGTAAGAGAACAGAATAAAGTACAATAGATTACAATAATACAATTAGAATTTCTGATGGCAAAACAAGACACTAATTCTCAGTTCTCAAATTGGTTTGTTTGCTATCACTTCAGTTCATAAGAATCTCCATTCTGTATTTGAATATCTAACACAAGTTCTCAAAAATGTGTTCAAGAGCATTTTAGAATCAAATAGTTCTTGATTTTTTCATTCAAATACTCCCATCTTTAGCAAAATCACTTTGGATTAATTTGATTAAACCTAGTAATAAAATACATTCAATAGAACTTATGTGGTAGATTTTTTTGGAAACTACACTCAACAAGGCAATGAAGTAAAAAAAAAGATAAATTACTAATAAAACGTTTCTTATGTATGTAATAAAAGTAATTTTATTACAAAAATGAACATAACTATGTGACATTTATCTGGTATAGTTTAAAGATACAGTGTGTCTCAAACATATAGATAATCTATGATTTTATTTTTTTAATATATTAAATATTTCTTAATAATACAAGTGGTTATTAACTGTTTATTTATAGCACAGTACAATGTTATATAATTGTTTTTACAATATTTGATAGTTACATAAAGTGTTAAACACAAAATACTTCTTTTTTGATGTCCCAAAAATATAGATAAGTTTAAACTTTGAACAACAGTTCGTAATATAAATTGATGAAAATTATTTTAATACAAAATAGAACTGCCATTATGCTTAATGACTTCAAAAATGTGATTAGATATTGATACAATTAAATTTTGTAAGATTTCTGGATCCATTTGAAACCAGCACTCAGTGATTCTTTGTTTAAGCTCTGAAACCATTGTAAAATGCTTGTTATTAGCATAAATTTTTTAAGCAAGAATACTCCACAAGTTCTTAATCAAATTTATGTCTGAACTTCTTGCCGGTCACTTCATAACTTGAATATTATGCTCTTCGAATCACTTAGTTGTTGAGTATCAATACTANTAAATAACAGTTTACAAATGCATATATACAGATATTTTTTGAAGGGGGGAAATGGTCTTCACAATTCGAAATCGATTGAACACACTGTGCGCGAATGCTCGTGTAAACGCGTGCCATCTATCGTAGGATAAATGTACTTCGCGGGAGTGTATTAAAAAATTAAAAAACTTTCCAAAGCTTCATGGCAATCGTACTATGCCACAAACCTTCGCTGGAGTATATTAAACAACTTCCCAAAGTTTCACAGCAATCGAATAAACAATGTGGTAATGCATGAAGGACACACACACAGACAGACATACATTCATTTTTATATATATAGATGTGCAACTTCAAGCTTTGTTTGATTCAAATACCTATCCATTTATAGAAGAATCATGAGTGTATGCAAGTATGATTCACTAGGTGGCCCGCCAGCTGATATGTACTTGAAATTGCAGCCCGCCTCCAAAATGAATTGGGCAGCCCTGGCCTAAATGATCGGGCTACAATTACACTAATTTTAAATAATTAATACAAAGTANGTATTAAAGGTAGACATTAGATGCTATCTTTTATCTAAATTAATAATTATAAAAATTTAATAATTTATTAAATGAGATAGAACAATCTGGAAGAAAAGAACTAACCCATAGTGGGATTTGAACTCACAACCTCTGAGCAATTCTTCACTTCCAGATGTATTTAAACTTAGATATAATCACTTATGGTCACTCACGGCACCAGCTAGGGACAACTCCTATGGTCATGGCCTAAGCACTCCTCTGCTATGGTACTTAGTTGGGTATTGCTTTACCTGACATGCTGTGTGTATGTATGTATGTATGTATGTATATAATAAACATCCCGAAGCACGATACATTGATACTAACCTTTATGGCAGTCATTTGTTTTATTATCAATGCCACCATCTCAGATAAAGCAGTAGCTAACTATGTGCCATAGCAGGGAAGTACTTAGGGTGTGAGCATAGGAATTGTTCTCAGCCAGTGCCATGAGTGACCATGAATGGTTATATCTAGGTTTAAATACATCTAGAAGCAAAGAATTGCTCAAAGGTCTGGGTGGAGTAACTGGCAGCACACCGCATGGTAGGTGAAGGTTGTGGGTTCAAATCCCACTAAGGGGTGGTTCTTTTCTTTCAGATTGTTCTAAATCATTTAATAAATTATTATAATTATTTAGATAAGAGATGGTACCTAACTTCTATCTCTAATATGAAATTACTTAATATCTAATTATTAATTTAAAATAATAGCCTAATTATTTATGATGATCATTTGGTTTAGTTTCATGCATTTTATTTTACTTTTTTAAATTATATTAATATAGAAACATTAAATATCAATTATGCCACCAAAATTTCCCTAGACTGTATTTACATTTTGAGGTGTGTTTGTCCTGCCAGCCCACACCCACCAGTACAATAATATTTACATATTATCTAATTAATCAAATCAACATGTTTTTAGCCTAATAGTTGATATTTAAAATAAGACTGGTAAAATTTATCTAAAATGGAATCTGAATAAAACAGAAACCCTCCTAAATAAACAAAACTTTGGAACAGAGCAAGCAATTTCCTATGTTAATTTTACTATAAACCAGTCTAATGAAAAAATGGAAGAGGTTTTTTGGGTATGAAAAATCATCTTAACCCAAATAACAAATTAAGAGTCTGCTGTGAATTAGCAAGTAAAATTGCCTCCAAGTCTAATGGTCACTGTTGAACATGACAAACTATCCCAAAAATGATTTGAACCTTTATAGAGAAATAAAAGTCAAACAATGAGGGACACGCAGACACAAGATCTTTGTAATATTAGTCTTTGTTGGAATTAACCAATGGTGGAATTGAATATTTTTAAGAATCAAGAGCTTTCAAAATTTGAATAAATTTCTGAGAACTGAATTCTTAAGAACAACCAACAAATGTAATTTGTTGAAAACAAAAAGAATAAGGTAACATATGATGTCAATTTTTCTTGTACAGACTACAGAGTAGTAAGTAACCAATTAGTATAGAGTATTCAAGAGCAAGACAATTAACATTAGTTAGTGTTAAAATTTTTTAAGAAGTAAGAGAACAGAATAAAGTACAATAGATTACAATAATACAATTAGAATTTCTGATGGCAA